CTAGTCAAATTGACATGCATATCCTGATGCAGCGCTCATTTATGTTTGTTCAAAGTATGGTGTTTGGGACAAGGTTGGGGCGAAGATAAGGGGGTGTCAAAGTTTTACAGAGAAAATGATCAATTTCTGCAAAGTCAACAAGGCCTCAATATTTGAGCTTCACTTCAAGCCTTCAAATTCTTAATCAAGTTTCCTGCAATCATGAAATTTAAGAAATGTTGGCTTCTATAGTGTTCATTAGTATTGAATATTTTTTTACTTTAAACTAATTTTTGTTATAGATACAGATCCTAACATTCCATGGTTTCAGCAAGTGGTATGGGTGCTCTATAATATAGCTAGTGCCTCTATACTTACAAGCACGTTGTTACTTCAAAGCCTTATACCCTTTCGTAAGTGTTAATATTTGGTTTTGCTCATTTCTTAATTATTGTTTTTAGATGTATGTTCTTTCCCACTGAAATACATAGTACATAAAAAGGGAAAATTTGATGAAACAATCAAAACAATGCACGTCGACTTTGAAAATTTTTGTGTGGTAATTTTCCTCTTTTGTTGCAGGAACCGATCCAAACAGCATCATTGTACAAATTGTCAGCCCAATTCACGTCATCCTGAACATTTTTATCAGTGCTAAGGAAACAAGGATACTTCATTTCTACCAACCTGTTTTATTTATGTTTCTTTACATTTTAGTCAATATGGGTTACTCTTTGATAGCAGGCAAGCGAGTTTATCCGCTATTAAATTGGAACGAATCTCCGCTTATTTCAGTTGCCATTTCAATGGGGATATTATTAATATTTGTACCACTATTTCATTTGTTCGTATATGGAATATTCCGATTAAGGACTTATGCTATTGATAAATTTAACAAACGCAACGAAGAAGATGTTCCAATATTTCAATAAAATGATTTAAGCAATTTATGTTTCAATTCGTCTCAAATGTTTAACATCTTTTTTAACCCTGTAATATTGATTGATCGATTGCATATCGTTTTACGTCCCATTCGAGAATGTTTCACTCAAATAGAGACGTCGCTATATACCGGTGAAGGGATTCAAATATATAGAGGATATTCAATGTTTTGTAGTTGGATATGGAATTTATTTCACGAGTTGGACAGGATTTTTATTTATATTTTCACGAGTGCAGAGCACGAGTGAAAATATAAAAAATCCTGTCTCCTGAGTGAAATGAATTCCATATCCATCTACAAAAGATTGAATTTTCTGTTTATTATATTTTCTTTGATTTTCCCATTGCCTCTGTCTTTTCTTAACAGTGTTATGGGCTGTGACGTCATAGTTGAACGGTTGAGACGTCATAGCTTATCATTTGTGAGACCCATAGAAAACATTGTAACATGGTTTTAGCAATATATTTGGAGAAACTGGCAGTTTTTGTCTCTATCAAGATGGGTTTTTTTACATATTTTATGACAGGCCAGAAATTATTTTTTTTACTTACATTGATATCATTTCACATTGTAACAGAATATGACTTTGTATCCTTTCACTCTGTGAGAGAATATCACTTTTATTCAATAAATAAATCACAGTATTTCACGGTTGAAAATGTAACAAGCATTCTGAGAGAGTTGCATTACCAATACTAGTCCCCTACCGGCAAGTGTAATCTGGTTCCCTTTAAAAATTGAAAATGACAGAATTCCGTAAAAAATCAATGAAGCGAAACGAAATGCAAACCTGATCTATAGCTCATCAAGGTTAAGACACATACCAAAAATCAGCTCAATATCTGCAAGCGTTTAGAAAAAAAAATTGCGGAAAACCCTGAAAAATTGAAAAGGTCGTAATTCCGTCAAAATCATTGGAGCGGAACGAAATGCAAACTTGATCTGTGACTTATCAAGATACACTCACATGCCAAAAATCAGCTCAATATCTGCAAGCGTTTAGAAAAAAAAGTGCGGAAAACCAAGTGGGACAGATTGACAAACAGACAGAGGGACAGCTAGACGGACAGACAGACAGACAGACAGACAGATGGGCGGACAGACTCAGAGGAAACCTATAGTCCCCTCCGGTTTCACCGGTAGGGGACTAATAAAAGACCTATAATCGGCACTGAGGGCTTATTAAGCAGTGAGGGTTTTTTTTATCGTGCCAACGCCAACCTCGACACGGAACATCGAATTTTAAGATATCATTCGCAATTCGTGCTCAGTCGATATGCTTTTTGTAAAGTCGATATATCTATGGATCGACCTCGTGAAAGGGCGCAATATATTTGTATGATAATTAAGAATTCTTTATTCTACCGATTTAGAAAAAAAAATGTATTTATTGATATTGTAAGAAGACTTGAATTTTTATAGAAAGCATCCATCATCATGCTAAAGTCAGTTAACCAGTGTTGGTGTTAGTCTGAATTGATTTTTTTTTAATTTTCAATGAAAAATAGCAAATTTGGTTTTGTTTTATTTTTCTTTTGATAGCATGTACGTTTTAAATCTAAAATGATGTATTATTTTCCGGACAATTTGGAAATGTTAATTTAAGGTGGCAGGAGATAGTTTTGCACTGAATGCCAGGTATAAAATATAGAAATAAAGGAACAACATGTGATTTTAGGGTTTATTTCAGGGTGATACATTATTTTTTTTTTCATAATTATACAACCATGCAGTGTTTTCTCACTTCATAATACTAGATAGTCATATAAGTATCCAGAACTTAAAATTAGGTTCTATAGTTATAATAAGTTTTTGCGTATATATATTTTGCCAATTAATTTTAGGTGATATTTTTTTATTTCACAGTTTTATAGAGGAAAAACATGAATGTCCAATTTGCATTATTGTTGTAAAACAATTGATTGTACCACCCTTATAAATGTCCAAAAAAGTACTTGTGTATTGAGACGCGTGATTAGTTTTATGGGTATTTATTGTAACTCACTGTGCGCGCGCCTGCACACACACACACCCTAACACACAACTTAAGGATAGACGATACGTTCCTCAATAATATATAATTTTTTCAAAGATTCTGTCTTTGAAGTATTGCTACTTTAACATGTTTACTCTCAGAAAATTGAGGTAGCTTATCAGGCATTTGTGCAATATATCAAAGGATGATGTTTCCTATAAAATCCTTTTGGAAAAACTCAAATTAGCCAAAAACACATTTTTAAGTGTTTCAATTTTTTAAAGACAATTAGAAACCAGTTTTGAAATTAGAAGGTAATTAAAATTTTGAATATTTTCCACACAATACGAAGATATACAAAACAGAAATTTAGGAACGCATCGCCTGACCTTTAACAGATGGTATACATTTATTGAAAGGCAATGCTGTAACATTACTGAAAAGGTACCGAAAGATTAATACTCTGTAACATTACTGAAAAGGTACCGAAAGATTAATACTCTTAGCTTTAGATTAGGGAGAAGAAATTCACACGGTAAATTATTCTGCTGCCAATATTATTGAAAACCCGATCAAATATTGTAGACCATGGTTATAAACAAATCTAATTAATCCTAATTGAGTTAAATTAGATTAAAGCACCAGTAGTTGTTATATGTATGTCAATGATTTGATATTAGAGGGCACTCAACGAATTCATTTAACCGCAAGGGATTATAGTGACGCATATTTCTTACGGAAAACCCAACATCAGTGGTATTAAACAGGTAACGGTTATCAGCGGATTTATTTTTAAACTTAAATACATTAACTTGGATATTAGTTAAGTATGCAAAGAACTTAGATACATGTACCATACTGTAGAAAATTGATCAAAAATATTTTGGTTAATATTGAAGGAAGAGTAATTTGTGATTAGATGTACACTTGCATGAAAAACTTACCAAAAAAAAAAAAAATCCTCTTTCTGTTTTTTGTCATAGAGTAAAAAATAAATGTACAATGTATGGTTAAAAAATAGGTAATCGTTAAGAAAAGTAGATATAAGGATATTGGATACTGATGATTTTTTTTTTTAATTTTGCTAATCTTAAATCTCACAGGAATCAAGGAATTAAAGTGAGTTTAAATTTCTCTATCAACATACATCTGATTTGTAATTTATGCATCTGTTATTTAAAAAATAAAAAAGCAAACTTCTCAAAAGAATAATGAAATGAATAAAAAAAATGAATAAATAAATAAACAAATAAATAAATAAAACGGTTAAATAATTCTCGTCTTTATATTTTTGCTTAGTCATGTTTTCCATCTTTAAAAAAGGGGGTCCTTGTAGTTTCACGCTGACAAAATGAAAATAAAAAAATATATATATAAAAGATAAGTAAGTAAAAAAAAAAGCAGAAATATGTAAATAATTATAAACAAGTTTTGAAAACACACACAAGAAAAGAAATGATAATTGTCTGGGCATATAGAGAAACAGGCGCTTGAATTTAATCCCTCAGTATGTATCATAATTGTATCCCGGGTCGCTACAGCGTTTCTTTCAAGCTCACAGAAACCTTTAAATTATCCGTGTTACAAAATGTACTTTTATATGTCCCTAAAGCTATTCGTCTTTGTAACAGTTACGAAAACAGATTAAGGATTTAAACTAGCATCCGCTCTTCTTAATTATTGTAAAACCTTTAATACCGTGGTCATTAAAAAAATTACTAGAGGGGGCTTATGGTAGTTTGGAAATGGTGTGGTGGCACTACTTGTGAAAAGAAGAAATAATCTTGTAAATAAGCGTAAAAAATCTTTGATAAGTGAGGTTTAACATAGATATTAGAATACCGGGCCAGTGGGACAGTTCCCCCTTTTCTTTTATAGGACGTTTGTTCACTGCCGAATAAGCGGAAATAATGAAGTAGAAAGTAAAACTTATTCAACATCGCCATAGCGTACGACCAATAGCAGTCCACTGACACATGGCGCGGGTTGTTACGGAATAATGTCTAATACTCCTACATGAATCGTGGAAAAATTATCAATGAAGACTTGCCGTGTATTTGTGGGAATAAAACATGACTTTCAAGCAAGAAATTAGTGTGGACGCTATGGAGTCTTGTTGTTGTCTAAACTTTAAAGAAGAGTTTAGATTGCGAAATTTGTCATTAAAACACAACAAAGCGAAATCTTTCGTGACTTCTCAGGTATGTAAGTTTAAAAATTATGTCTTACTTTGATAATCTTTATAATCCTGATATCAAACTGTTCGAATTCTCTGATTACTCTATTCCAGCTTGGTTTTATTTTGTCCCTATTTCTTGCAGTTACTGAGTATGTTTTAAGTGATATTTGTAACATTTATAATATTTTTAATGTAAATCATAAAATAAATGTTGAGTTTACAAGCAATATAACTTTCCTAAGTAAATATTTATTCTGTAATTTTTATAATGTTTCATATAGGAAATTTCATACTGCTTTGGATATATTTTAAATTCTATACAACTTGTAACCGACTTTGTTTGGAGTAGACAAGTGTTAACTCTCTCCCATTCTTTTTCTTCTACCTTCGACTTATCCATCATTCTCTTCTGCCTATTTCTTTTTTTTTTTCATTTCGCCCCCCCCCCTCTCCCCCGATTCTACCTCCACTGGCCCCTGATGACTCCAGGTTCAATACGTTTTCCGTTCAGTCAGTAATAGCAATGGAAACTGACCACAAAACCGGGCATATTGTGACGATAGATTTGAAAAAAAGGAAATGAAAGATATTTTTCTTTAGTTTTTATTTCTTGTCATCTAAAAAAAAAAAAAAAAAAAAAGAGAGAGAGAGAGAGAGAGAGAGAGAGAGAGTAGATATCCATACCTCAGATGTTTGTGGTTCAAACTACTCTTTTCTGTTTTCTCACTATAACATTGTTCATCCCCAACCCCTTTCATCGTGTATCAGATTTCTCTCTAATACTCTACTCATGCCTACAGGTACACTTTTTTTTAAATCATAATCATCATATATAAGGTTGAATGTGTTGTTAAAAAATTAAACATTTCAAAAATAACTTCAAATTCGTTGTCTGTCAGGGGGTAAAAATAAGTCGACTCAATATGCTCTCAAAGACGGCTTAATTTGTTATAATATTGTATCTTCTTTTAAAACATTCCAATTAAGCATTCTAAGAGCAATATTGTAAAACTTATGATTTGCATAATATTTTCTGGCCCCAAGACCATAAACTGAGAACAGACTTAAGTCAAAATTTCAAACTATTATAAACTTTTGAAATAATTTTGATATTGAAACAAAATTTTCATCATGTATTTGAATTGAAATATTACACAAAATTGCAAATTTTTAAACAAATACATTAAATAAAACTCAAGATATTAAAAATCAAAATTTTGACTAAAGTCTGTTCTCATGCAGTTTATGGTCTTGGGGCCAGATTTAAAAATTCAAGCCAATTCTACTACATTAATTAATTGCACAATATTTTATTCTCTCGATTTTCTTTTTAGTGTGGACCAAGGTATTTCTACCCAGTATGGACGACATTTTGGGCACTTTATCATCTGTTGAACCTTCTCCTCATGCCTTACTATTCTACAGAATGGCCAAATACCCTAGCTTGGCCTTTGTATTTGACGAACTTGGGATACGCTGTCCTGGGAATTTTTTCAATTTCTGACTGTATTTTCACTATTTATGTGCATATAAAACGACCGGATATTTTGTCTGGTGAGTACTATTATTAATATCAAACTGGCCATTTGCAGTTATTTTCCATAGCCGTTATAATCTTTTTTTTAAATCTCTGATAAAAGTGTATATTTGTATACAGAAAAAAAATCCCAGGAACAAATCTTGTTTGAAGTCATATACATAAGCCACTTTTAACATTTCAGGGAGTGCGAGTGAATCTCCATGGTATCTCCAGTTTGTGTGGTGTCTATATAATATCAACAATGTGGTGGCTCTTACAATATCCGTGTCATATTATGGCCTCCTAACTGTCAGTAAGTCATAACCCTATTGCACAATACATAGTAGTGATAGTACAGTAGAACTTGCTTTAAAGAAAATCTGTTATTAAGAATTCTTGTTGTAAGGAATTCTAATCTTATGCACGTTCACTGGAAAATTATAATTTCAAACAGTTTTTTATTTAAGTATAAGGAAGTTCGACTATAAGGGAATAAACTACAGAGTCACCAAATCATTTGATTGCGATTTGAAATACTTAACTTTTCTCTAGTTGAAATTAATGGAAATGCAAAATCGTGAAGTGTATCCATGTACATGTACATGTACACTGCTGCATAAAAAATAATATCATGAATATGGAATTCTTTTATTATACTTTTTTTTCTAATAATTGAAAATGTGTGCTCGTAAACATGTACTTTGGTATCAATGTATTTGATAGCTGCTCTTGCAAAAGTTTCTTTTATTTAAAGCATTTCCATTTTAGAAAAAAAAAAAATGTTTGTTGATATTTTTACTCCACAGGTTTTGATCCACCAAGCATTATCACCCACATGATAAACGCTTTCTTCACATTTGCCAACATCTTAGTATGTGCCAAACCGACAAAACTCTTGCATGCCTACCAACCTCTACTCTTTTCTGCAGCATATCTCATTCTCTCCCTCATTTATTACGCCGCGGGGGGATCGGCGATCTACTCCGTGCTAGATTGGAACAATTTGTCAGTGGCTCTACCGACAGGTTTGATTGTGGCATTCGTGTTGGGATTATTGGTGCATCTTTTTGTGTTCGTGTTGTTTAAAATTCGTGTGCTTTTTCATAAGAGACTTTGCAGTCAGACAAAAGTTGACACAATTCAAGTGTGTATTGTTGAAAAGGAGAAATATGCGGTGGAAAGTCCTAAAAAAGTGGGGCCTTAATATACATATTAAATATGTATCATTTAGATTACTACCTCTTGTATTTTATTTATATCTGTTATGTTTCTCATCAATCCATTGTCAGTTATATTCAGGGATAATAAAAGATTTTTTAAAAATTGAGACTTATACAATAAAAATAATTATAACCTGTAGCCATACTTGAACGTGACCTATTAGTTTCACAAAAATCCCGTGTCTTTCTTGATAGATTTTCCCTACATAACGTAATATTCTGATATGCTACATATCATGTTGGGTTTGTTTTCTTTCTCGGTGCCATTAGATTTATATCTAATATATTGTCTGATTTTTTATGGAATGAGTTGTAGGATTTCCAAACTTAAACTAATAATCAACATATTGTCCCCGGCGATAATATGACTGTGCCTATCCTCACTGCACACATTGTCGCTCTACATTAAGATTTGTTTAAGTTTTTTTTTAAATAATAGGCGTGTAATTCACACAGAATTGTCATATAGGCATATTTCATGAAGTGCGATATAACGCAATAGCCTGAGTTTTTCTGTGTATATTGATATGCGTGAGTTTACACAAAAATGACATTTAAAATCGAAAATAACATTTTCAGTTTTCGTGAGATAGGATGTTCACGAAATGAATAAAAAAAAAAACTCTTATGAAGCAATTTTAATAAAATGCTATATTTAAAATATAAGTAATGTATTCTAATTAGCAAGAATGCTGTAATAAATTTATTGATTTGATCAAATAAAATGATTTATATGAATTCATGTAAAATACCATCAATATATTTCTCTCTAATTCTCTCCGACCACAGTAAAATATTCTTCAAACCATAATTTTGGCGACAACCGAGAGCTAATTCAGAGGCATGTAGGGGACCGGTAGGTTAATTTACAAGACCTTTAACAGATGGGTTTATACTTCACCCACAAAACCGCATTTCAAATAATTGTGAATCTTTTGTTTATGCAAGTGTTGCTCCGTTTCATGCCTTTTGTGTGCGTCTGTGCATGTTCTTCTTGATGTAAATCTGTATCTCATGTGACCTGTATATATCCCCCCCCCCCCCAAAAAAAAAAGCGAGAGACAAAACTCCGTGACCACAAATCAAAACTTAATCTGTTGTATGTGTCGTTGGTCTTCGATGATTTCATTCATGATGGCTTAAAAAAAGATAGGTTAAAAGTCTTAACCCAGAAACATGTTAACATGATAACTAAGATTACTCAAATCTTATCTTAACCTCGACAGGCTGTCAAGTCTCCTCCAATTGTTTCTTTGCATTATTTGTGTTTGCAATGCACTCAAACAATCTTCTGACACGTGCAAGAGCGTCAGGATTTTTTCTGCTCTATTCATCTCCAAAGTGTCCGCGGATACCATTTTGATTTATTTGAAAAACTTTATCTTCATCATATCGATTATGATTCTGATGAATGAAACTAATCAGCGGCTGTTTTGCAACTCCCTGAAGTATAAAGACATTTCATAGAGGGAGTATTAGTTTCAAGTGCATTTTATTTCTTTTTATTCATAACAAATTGATTTCAAAAATATAGTCAAACAAATACTACGAAGATCATGCAATAATATTTGAATGCAAAATAAATGCATTTAATCACTTTGGCTAAGTGATTCTTGATTGTCAAATTGAACAGGAAAGCAGTGCAATAAATCACGTTTGCAATGCAAACATGCACATGTTACAAAAGCTATTGCTTTAATCTAACATTGAATGAATCTTGGACAAATGAGATCAATTAAAATAAATTAAGATGATAACCATTCTTTAAAAAAAAAATTGCCTCTGGACAAATGCAGCAATTTTCCAAATTATCAAAAAGTAAATATAATTAATTTGTGTATATCTAAGATGAAAAAGGTGAAGATAGCGAACATTGATCAATCTAAATAAAACTACAAACAATAAAATATGACACGAAAGTTGTATATCACATTGTGATTTAAAGTAATTACATGTATGAAGGACAATTACCGACATTTTCTGTTAAAAAAGCGTAAGGATTTTATAGAGTAAGGATAAGGCTCGAACGTTTGATGCTTTCATTTTCAAACGTTGGTGAACCTTTAACTAGCTTGCATTAGCGTAATCAAATAACAACCTTCTCCCTTTATCTATTATATTACGAAAACGCTGACGAAGCAAGAGGTTTGTTTCCGAAATAACAACATCTCTGACATTTGACCTTAGAACAGAAGAAATATATAAATGGATTAGCAGTGACTTTTATGGAACTGAAGAAAAAAGTCACATTAAAAAGTAAAGGTCCATCTACCTTAAATGAAAATGTACAGAACAGTTCAAGAAATTTCAAAATATCGATCACGAGAGAAGGTCCATTGGCGATAAAATAATTAATCAAAATGACGTAAATTGATTTCGTCATTCTAGACGTTACGCGATCGATTTGTACATTTGTACTGAGATGTGTCGCACGTAAACGTTTTATTTTACTGCGATGAATAACGATCAACAAAATTAAAGTTACCACCCAAAATGGAATACCCAATGCACCGAAGAAAGGCAGAATACAATTTGCGTTCATCTCTTTACATATTAGTTGAATAAGTATGACAAGAGTGCAAATATTAAATACCCCGGTTATAAAAAGGCAAAGAAACGATTTTACAAATATTCTTTTTGGTGTTTGAAATCTAGCATACTTGATTGGATTCTTCATTAAAGAATATCTTTCAATAGCAAACAGCACCATATTCTCATTGGACCATATAACAGTTGTCGCCATTGCAAGTAGAATATTTCGGTCCACAATTTCAAATATTTCTGAAAACGTGACTGTGCTTATTGGTTTTGTATTAAGATCCACCGAAGCAGCCATCATGGAAATTGATGCACTGATGTCACTTAGAGCTAAGACGAAAATGCAAGCAAAAGTAGTGGTATGGTAGGATCTCTTTCGGATGATCTGGAAACAAAGAAAGCAATTTGCCGCTGTTCCTACTGCAAGGTTTACCATTGTGAGAACAAAGGTCCCACATAGGTACCATGGCTTGTCCTGACATACGGATAACCTACATTTCAACGAAGGTGTAAGGTCTTCCTCATTTCCAGTTGTTGTGATATGTAAATTTGATGTGATTGTAATGTTCATTGGTCTGAAAAAAAGGATAAGTGTACTTCATATTTAGATGCAAGCATATATATTACAAAATGATTAATTGATTGATTGTTTGTTGTTTTACGTCCCGTTCGAGAATTTTTCACTCATATAGAAACGTCACCGTATACCGGTGAAGGGCTTCAAATTTAGACCTTTACTCGACACTCAGGACCATTAAGCAGTGAAGGTTCTTTATCGTGCCAACGCCTACCGTGACACGGGGCCTCGGTTTTAAAGGTCTCAACCGAATGGCACGCAACTTTCACTTCAAAGTGCCGAGCGCTTGGCGAAGGAACAGTTGCTACCTATTTTTATCGAGTTAGGTCAGTTGCGGCCGTGATGCGAACACGACCTTCCAATCGAGGAGCAGGCGCTCTACCGACTGAGCTACCGTGACGGTTATTACAAATTGAGAGTTGAAAATAAAAACTGGTTTTAATGGAAGAGGAATATTTTTACTCTGCAGTATCCTTATGAGGTCATTTATATAAGTTTTGTGGATCACCATTATAATATTCAAAAAGAAAAAAGAAAACAAAATCAACGATGTAAAGGGGTGTTCAAATGATATAAGAGGTTCTTTGGTCATCATGATCAGTTTGAGTAATTCTAAACTTAGCTGAACAGTCGATCAGAATAACATACAGGTTATTCTGATGTACGAAGGGGCTAATATTCCCTGAGTGAGAGTTCAACCGCCGGCTTGATTGAAAATGTATCTTCTTAAACAGTTAAATAGCTAATTAGCATTGCTTCATGGAAAATTATTATCTCTCAGTTCAAAAGAAATATCTAAGATTAAAACCACTTTAACATTTATTGTTTTGTTAAGACATCCTCCTACGTACATAAAGAAAACATGTTGTAACATCAATACAACCCAAAGGAGTTCATAATATTTTTTTCTCTTTCGCAAAGGTACAATTTTCTGCAGAAATTAGACATTTTGGAATATTCAAAAACAGTGTTTTTGTCAATATAATGCATCTCATTTCTACATTGTTTATCTTATTTAGAAAGCATTATGTATTACATTGTTTATTAGCAGGACGCACAATGAATGAATTTTTTTTAATGAAATGTTTAAAAAGTAAATCAAATCAGAAAAGAAATAGTTTATTCATCATTGAGTTATGTTAGAACTAAAAGAAGGGCTTAAAGATTATAAAACAGCAAATTGTCATTTACTGATGAATAAAAATAAAATCGGAAAATAACAGAACATCTTAAGAATAAACGATATTCTCCGATTGCCAAAAGAAATAAAACCATCTTGTAAAGGTTTCAAATTCACACATACTACGTTATTTATGAGTGGATAAAAGTTTCATATGCTTACATAGGTGTTTTTTCCTTTGCTTTCATAAATTTAAGTATTTATAAGATTTATCCAAAGAATTTATTTAAGTCCCTTTTTAATTACTAATTTTTATGAAAGAAAACTTACCTTGCAATGCAGCTCCAAGATTGATAACTGAAATGTATGTAAGGCTCCACGTGCTCTTTCAGTTATCTTTAAATATTAAGGAGCAAAAAATCGATAGCAATTAATCAATGTAAAATCAGTCTCTAAACGAATGCCTTGTCTCTAGATAACAATTATTATATTGACCCATTTTAGTATAAATATCAATATTCCATTAATTTTATAACTTTGTAGGATTATCATGTAATAAAAAATTTGCAAAGAATACAGGTCCCATTTCTAATGTTCTTTGTTACGAATAACATAAGATTGTACTATCCGATTTCTAAATGTCTTTTTTTTATTAAGAGGACATGCACGGAATGGGGGTTATGTAGTAAAATTAAACAGCAATAAACATATTGAAATATCTTTTAAAACAAAATGGAGTTTTAGCGTCAACAACTTCAATTTTTAGCTAATCTTTTTGCCCAAAACTAAAAAATACCATTGGAGATGTATCCGTAAAACATAGAAATACGGTTCATTCAAAGAAATATCTCAGCATTGTGTAAGAAGCTTTGATGATACATTTACATGTAACAAAAACAAGTGATCTCACGGAATTAACAGCTATGCTTTAAAGTTTCCTTCGATATTAAGTTTGTGTGATATTAAAATAAAATCTATTTACGCAATAATATACGTCATTCATTTAAGGAATCTTAAATTGATAGCACCCCCAAAATTATAAACAAAAACATAAGAGCACATTTTTCCAGGAAATAACCGTGTTTGTGTTTTAACATTTCTATCTCTAAATTTAGAGAGGAAAAATATCAATTCGTGAAAATTTTAATGATATTTTTAAGGAAAAGCAAACAATTCTTTGGCACAAAATACCATGTTTCAATGATGGCTCTGTCATATCCTAAATTTTGAATTTAATAGGTCTGAGTAAATACCAAATTGTCATATTCTAATTTTTGTAATTTTTTCATCCAATAAATTAAAAATAAAAAAAAGAAGATAAATATGCTTAGAAAAACAACTATCTAATGCTTTTTCGTCTTTACAATAATTCGCATTTAAAAACTAAAGAAAAATAAAAACGTATTATGGAAATATGGCTCAATTTCATACAGAAGAAATTTAAGAATATTAATAGCATCTTTTCCATAATTAATAGAACTATATGAGTTTTAAAAATTAAAAAAAAATATGAACATCCCAGAGATATTATGTATTTCAGAGCAAACAAGTGCACGGATCATGGTAGAAGCAATTTTGATTGTGTATTTGACCGAGCTGCAGAAACGTGATGTAGTTCAAAATCTCTTAAAGCTTGTTTATCATCATGTCAGGATGTGGCTTCAGTGTTGTTAAGCGATATTAAAATAATTGAAATTGTGCCCAAGTAGGGAGTTGAGGCAGGGACAACTGAAGATATCGGATGCTTATGGCTTTGGTGAGATGTGTTTTACAATAAATTAAACAAAAGGAAGACGCTTTATTTATCAGTATCAGATATTTAGAGGCCCTTGAGGACTTATAAATATCTGATACTTTTTCATAAACATTTGATTCAATCTTGTATCGTGCTAAAGTCATTTGGATAAATTTACGATGTATACATCCTGACATTGGTTAGAGAAACCCATGAACATTTCAGTGGAAGAAACATTTTTAACCTAGTACTGTAAGCAAAAAGTACATATAAGTTTGGATACGTTTCTTTGACTTTCAGGTGAAACATTGTCAAAAATACATGAATTTGTAATTCATTTTATATTTTTCCATGCATCTATTATACATAACGTATAAACAATCAGACACTTTTGTGACATATTCTTTTCTATATATAAAATTGTAAATACCTTCAATTTCCATAATATAATAGTCAAAACAAGATCGCTAAAGGAATTTACGTGTATATATAGTCCATTTATTTAGTTCTAACGATGGTAATTCGTATTCCCATCTCTGCCTTGTTATAAGCTATAATAATATTACTTGAAGGAAGTATGGTGCCGTTGCACGTTATTGATTGTTGATAATTATTAAATTCTAAGCATAAATTCTACTGTCACATCCATATGAAAGCTTCTATATTCAAGGAGAAAAAGTGCACTTACAATTAATGAAGACAGTCAAATAACATATATACTCGTTTGATGCGTACCAGATTTGATCGTTTCGATTCCAATACATAGAATTTTGAACATTTAAAGATATAATGTTTAAAATGGTCTTTTTTATTGCTCGACCTCTGCATCAAAAATGACACGAAATGTGCTTAATAACATCTATAATGCGTTATTGAAACACGTATTGCTCTTGTGATTGATCATGTAGTGCAGTGCAAAATTAATCATGTATGCATGGCACTAATGATTATTGAATTGGCGAAATTGAAAATGTTGTCTGCATTAAAGTTAGCTGCAGAACTGTAGCTCTCTGGTTGAGAAAATTCAGAGTGATAAACCAGAAAACTACAGGTCCAACAAGTGTAAAAACCTTACGGCGACGCATTTTTGTTTCTCTTGTATTTAATCGTTCCCCCGCTTTGAACAAGCATGGTATCCGTTACGTTTGATTTCCATTAGTGAACTCTTCTGACTGGGACAGCATGGCGTTGCGGATAATACAAAACATGCCAATCTCAATCCAATTTTAAATGTTAAATGTATTTGTCATTCCAATTAAAGAATAGAAAAACTAAAAGACATATGTAAGAGAGCGAGAACCCTAAATTTATCATCCATTAATAAACAATACAAAAATTTTATTTGCATTTTGTTAGGATTTGTTCATCGACATTCAACATATTGTTAACATGTTTATGTTATGTTTGTCCCAGAAATCCCGCGAGATTTGTACATTTTCCGACTTTTTCACAAAAGAGCGCACTAAGAAGTATAACTCTTCCATAGTGGAAATAGAACGTGAACTCCTATTCTTTATACTTTATTTACCTTTCAACGGTTCCAAACAGCCCTATATAGTCTTGGAGTATCAGTTTTAAAAATTCGCATTCTGACGTCCATGTTGATGTTATGCTAAAATAACACGCCCGAGTTTTATTCATCTAATTTCTTTTTTTATATACATATTGTCTTCATTTTAGACGATATACATTATATTTGAACCTCCAAAATTTTTATTTACATTTTGTCGGCATGTGTATGTCCATTGACTTACTTTATTTCGCATGACCCCCTACATGTGCGTCGGAATGTGACTGAATTTTTTGAACTGACATTCCAAGACCATATAGGACCGTTTGGAACCGTTGAAAAATTAATAAAGGAGAAAGCTACATGGTTAATGATCAGATACCACGCTTGAAGCGGAAGAACGCATAAAATACAAGGAAAAAAAAAACAAAGCGAGCGACAAAAATGCGTCGCCGTAAATAGAAGGTTTTACACTTGTTGGATCTGTAGCTTTCTAATATTTATCCAAACTTTCTCAACCAGAGAGCTACAGTTCTGCAGCTACATTAAAGTCTAAGTCGTACAGGTAAGTGAGAGTACTTGTTCCATGCATAAATACTGGTCCATATTGAACTCTTAATTATTATATA